AGTAATTTTGTATAATAATTACTTATATCGATTAAAACGTGAAAACCAGAGCAGTTCATTCATATATGTTTCTATATTTCAATCATGCTCTCATGTTATTACTTTCAATAATGATGCAATTTTAAAATGCAATGGATATTAGTCTTGTCTTTCTCTGACATCCACATCCACAAGATCAAGATTTGAATTCGTATTGAAGTGTTATGAAATATTTCTTATACATATAGATGTTTTAAAAGATGCTAAAGATAATACTAAAAAAAGCAATTTTCTTTTTCATTCTTAACATAATAATGGTATGAACAAGGGAGAGCAAACTGATATCTTGATTTCTGTGACTTCAAATGAGTTCCCTGGTTTCTATCGATTTCTATCACTGGAAATTAGTTTTCACCTGTTCATCGCGAATCAATAGGGATCATTGGAGATGCTTAGAAGCGAAGAAAAATTACGAAGAATTATTAGAAGTCAAGAACAATCACTCAGAACATTGACAATTATTGAAAATCATGAAAAACATTAGAAATCAATAGGAATCAGAGTTTTACTTTAATTTTATTACTGAAGATTTTCTATGATTTAGAGTAATTTCCATTGATTTCTCATGAATTCTGATGGTTTCTAATAATTTTTTTAATCACTTCCAGTCATTATTCGTATCCTTAACGCATTAGCGTGATTTCTGGTGATTTCACGTCGGTAAAGTTAGCACCATATTCGACATTTTCTATCCGGATTCGCTATCTTACCTGAGTTGAGTCTCATATCCATGAGTTAGACGCAGAATTTTACGCTGAATCGAATGGTGCCACTTTCAAGGGGGGGTCATCGGGCAACAAACTCCACTTACCCCCCAAATACTGGTTTTTTGACCCATTCTGACCAGTAATCCCTGTCCGGATTCGCTATCTTACCTGAGTTATGTCTCATATCTATGAGTTAGATGCAGAATTTTACGCTGAATCGAACGGTACCACTTTCAAGGCGGGTCATCGGGCAAAAAACCCCACTTACCCCCCAAATACTGGTTTTTCGACCCATTCTGCCCAGTAATCCCCGTCCGGATTCGCTATCTTACCTGAGTTATGTCTCATATCCATGAGTTAGATGCAGAATTTTACGCGCAATCGAATGATGCCACTTTCAAGGGGGGTCATCGGGCAAAAAACCC